AGGCTCTATCTCTTGACTATCGAAGGTATGCTTATCATCCATTCGAAAACCTGTACTTGTATTTCTCCGCTTCAATGTCTTTAGCTAAACGCCAAACCATTTCTGAACATTTCTGTGTATGAATTCTATGTTAGAAATGCGTGCATAGTCTGATCTGGATGCCTTGTTTCACAGATTACAAAATGCATTCAAAGAAAGGCTGCACGTACGCTCGAATGACGGATGTCTCAATGCAACTGTTCAATGAAATTAAGAACAAAAAACCATTTTTCCCTTTAATCACCACCATGTTTTCAGAATGGTTTTTTTCACAACGAATACGTTATGACAGACCTGATAAGGTATGAATTTTGCATGGAAGACAGGCACGCTGACTGCCCATACCAATATCGTCCTTATACTGTCAATCACTGTTCGAGTAGTTGCAGAAAGTTCTTTAGTGACATTGATAGCAGCAAAATTGAAGATGGCGATACTGAACAAGTTCTTGCAAGAACACATAAGTTGTAAATGAGGTTTGCATACCTCACAATCATACAGGCTAAGGATACTGCAATCATAGGATCTTTGCAGATCTGATCCCATGCGTAGCCCACATCCTGGAAATTAGCGGATTTGCAATGATAGAAGAATGCTGATGTCTCACCTCCAGACGACCGTATGGGTTGGTAGAGAATGTTGAGCCGACGTGGATATAATAAAGTGGTACCAAGCTGATAAGAAGAATTATGAACCCATAAATGCCTAGAAACAGTCATTCCACACAACACTCAAAGTGTTCTACGTTAACCTTCAAGTCCCACGGCAAAAAGAGCCTCTACGTCATACTTATGTAGATATTTCTCTTCGAGCACAAGTTGCATAGCGACTGCAATCTGTGACACAACGCAAAGAATATTACCTGAAAAGCATGACACTGTCGCCTTCGGGTAAGCACTAACTCCAACCTACCAATCATGACCTCAGAGGCCGAATGATTTGATTCAGCACCCATGATCACGTCTGTTACTCCCACGATGACCAAACCAACGACAACCACGATCATTCCGAACCACTGGTAATATTCAATACGCCTTCTGAACATGAGTATCGATAGTAACCCGGTGCAAATGATAAGCGCTCCTGAAAAAAATGTTCCATCACTGCGCGACAGCCGTCACATGATCAATGCCCACCCTGCAACATCTGATAACTGCTGGCAGTAGTGAGATTCAGACCTATGTAAAGGATTGCAGTAGATACAATATCACATATTGCAGGCGGAAGGAAGACAAAAGGATTGAACGTGTGCACTTTTGGCTCCTCTT